CATATGAAACACAATATTCTTTTCTTACTCAGAGTAATATGCTTTTTTCCATTTTTTCTTGGACTATGTGGCAGCACTCTCAGTCTCCCTTTCATTATTTCACTTTTGTTAGAAATGGTGGCAGAAATGCCTCTGCTATGAAAAAATCAGCGGTGCAGCTCCTATGACAAGTGGCAGACATCGGCCTCAGAGCTGAGGAGATGGCAGAAGGGGAGGAGCGTGGCACAGTGAAAATTGGAGGTTTCACAAAAAAAGACAACTGTTACTTGGCTCTTGACAATTTTTGCCCCAGGTCATTCTTTTCAAAAGCCAGAAATCCAAGTTTTGTACAAAATCTCCTGATTTTAAATACTGGCTCAAAAAAAATTTTTTTAACATGATGGAGAAAAAACAAAACCTACTTCTTATCAACTACCGGTTTGAGACCTCTGGGCTTAAGGACTAGATGGATTACATACCCCCTGGGTCATCCACGTGACTATTTTTCTTTTCTTTCAAATGAGTTTCTAAAAACTACTGAGCTCCAGTAAGTTCAAGGTTGCACTTCTTGGCGAGTACTGTCTGTTGTGCTGTGTAGACTGAAAATGTGGCCATACGTTCCTCCTCCCCTGTGCCTGTGCCTGTGCCCATGCCCCCTCACCCTGCAGCTCTGAGTGACCTCTCACTGACAATGGCTCAGCTGTATGGCTTGCTTTGGGCCTACGAGAAGTGAGCATCTTACAGGGAGAAACTTGAAAGATGCCTGTGCACTGGGGCATGCCCCCCACACCTGCTGCTCTTTGAATCTCTGCCACATGGGATGAAGCCCAGGCTAGCCCATTGGAGGGTAAGAGGCCACGTGAATAAAGGCTGCAGCTGTCCCAGCCAAGGCCATCATAAATCAGCCACACCCACCAGCTTCCTGGACACAAGCAACGCCAAGACCAGCAAAGCTGGCCATTATCAAAGACCTGCCCACCTATCCGCACAATTATGAGCCGGACAAACGTCTGTTAGTTTGAGCCACGTAGTTTGAAGTGGTGGTTACAGCAAATGATAACTGCTACATGCTAAAATATATCAGTTACATTCCTACCAAAAATATCATCATAAAAATACTGTTTTGGTAGATATAAGAAGGCTTTCCTGGAGAGAAATGGCATTTTTCTTCTCCAATCACCACCCGACCTATAACCAACACTAGTGCCTTACATTCTTGTCACTTTTATCAACCTCTGTTTTGACAAAGGCATAAAGCTACTCAGAGTGCAGCTGCTTTCCCATCTGCCTAAAGTATTTACTTCCAAAACTGCTATCCCCGACCAATGGGATTTGCTTAATGCTGGCCCTCTCCAAGAATCCTGTGGGACCACTTCACTGTGAAAGCCCCCTTGGGGAGAGATCTGTCAGCAAAGAGCCATACCCTTTGGAGCTAGAGAGAGAACTGAAACCCCCTCTTAGGGAAAAGTTAAGTGCCTTGAAAAGGCCACTAGCCTAAATGTAATGTTGCAAGTGCGCCAAGGAAAGACCAACTGATGAAGCCAAGATTCTCCTCAAATGACACCAGAGTACAGGTAGTAATGCAGTTACTTAAAAAAAAATTTTTTTAATTAAAAAAATGAATAAATAAAAACTTAGTAAACCACCCAGAGAGCATTATTACTTCCTAGTGTATGCTCAAAGATAAAATGGTTGTAAGAGGTTCACCTAGTAGCTGCAATGAATGTCAGCTCTGACTTGCTGTGTAGAATTAGCACTATGAACAGAGGAAACTTCCAAAATTCATGACCTCTGTTATGTTAGTTAATCTGTAGCCTGTTTTTGTGAAAGAAATTAAGACACCATAGACAACTGGCATTTAGATTTTCTCCTAATTCACAGAAATAGAACAATATTATTTACACTTATAAAACTATTTTTCTTTCTGTTTTCAATTATCTATACTTAGAAAACTATTTTTCTTTCCATTTTCTCTTATGCCATGGGGTTGGGGGTGCAAGAGCCCTTCGTTCAACTCAGAGAGGCCTCAACTCATAAAAGTACTAGTTTAAGAGTATGAGCAATCTCTGGTCCATTTTATTTCACTACTCCAGAGTGTTTGAAACTTGCAGTTTTATGACGCATCATAGTACCTGGGATGGCAACTCTCACTGCTCTTAAGTTTTTTCTGAACTATTCACGTCTTTCTTTGGGGACATGTAGGTGTAGGAGGGTTGCCTTATACTTAGGATCCCTAAAATTTGGACACATACACTACTCCCAAGCCAGTGGAACTGCTCTGCCTCAGAGAAAGGAACACCTAATGTTATGCTCTTCCACCCAACACTCTCAGGCTCTCGCTATCAGAAATTCTTCCCAGATCCTAGCAATAACCTGCAGATCTCAGCTTCGGTTTTGTTCTTCTCTATGTCTAGACAGGCATTTCAATGGATAACAAAGACGTGCAACTCTTTGAGGTCCAAACCTAGAATGTCTACTTTCTATATATTCTCTCCCGTGCCTAAGAAAGGATATAACTAAAAAAGGGACACGGCATAACTTCTACACCGATTCCCTGAACCACAGCAACTTTAATGTTAGAAGCTTCAAGAATACTCTAAAAATGCAAAAAAGGAACTATCCTTTCCTAAGCACTCCTTCTTTCTGAGTACTCCTCACACAGTGAACCCTTTCGTTTTCTAAACTCTTGTGATCAAGATCTGAGAAATTTGCTCATCCTCCTGTGCCCCAGCCCTGCCACCTCACTTCTTCCTCTCTGCCTCCCTCCCAATTTACCAGCACCCGCACTAAATGCCTGGTTTAGTCAATCAAGAAGTATTTCTTTGGAACCATGTGCCACCATATCCTATTTGCTCCTTGAAGACGACAATCAAGACTAAGACTAGTACAGACTAATACGGTATATGCACTGTGATCCCCCTGCTCACCAGCAGAGGGGGAGAGAGACCAACAGCATCTGAGAAGGTTTACCGTGTGTCAGTAAGTGCAGGATGCTTTCAAGCTAACATCTTACTTAATACTCTGTAATCCCGCACTAAATGCCTGGTTTAGTCAATCAAGAAGTATTTCTTTGGAACCATGTGCCACCATATCCTATTTGCTCCTTGAAGACAACAATCAAGACTAAGACTAGTAGTACAGACTAATACGGTATATGCACTGTGATCCCCCTGCTCACCAGCAGAGGGGGAGAGAGACCAACAGCACCTGAGAAGGCTTACCGTGTGTCAGTAAGTGCAGGATGCTTTCAAGCTAACATCTTACTTAATACTCTGTAATTTTCCTCAATCCACAATGGCACTCACAAGGAATTCCATGCTTGATCAAACAATGAATCAGCCTCTGTGGTTATCATTTTGCAGAGAATTACTTACATCGTACTTATAGAAGATTCGATTCTTTTTAGGCATATAGGCCTTAAAATTGAGATAGACTCCCTTTCTGTGTGTGTATACATATATATATATACACGCACACACACCACCCAACACCACTCTATCCCAACGTCTCTCCCATGAGACAAGTGAAAACTCAAGGATTTTAATCCCAAAAAAAGTTGAAAAAAAGGAATGGTGGTAACTTTATGCAAAGTATACACATTAACTCTTTTTTAAAACTTTTTTTTTTTAATTTTACCTTTTCAAACAACTTCACAAAGTAATATTTTAGCTATCTTTGCAACAGCATTGATTTTCATATTATTGCCTGGTAGCCAATAATTTTAATCAACTCTCTGATTTCCTACAATGCTAAATTTTAAACTATCTTTATATGTGTGTGTGTGTGATCATTCTTTCTACAAACAATAGTGTCTTTTGTATTTTTTACAATTATTTCCTCCTTTTTTCACGTCATACCTTTTGACCACTATTTAGAAAACAAATTTAAACTGAAAAAGATCATTGTTTTTTACTCCTATTTGGGAATTTCCCCAACATTTCACCGCCCATTTACTGAGTACCTACAGTGTGCCAGGCACTATGCTAGCAGCACAAGGAGAAACAAGCAGGGGTCTCTGGCCTCAAGGAACTCACAGTCCAATGGGGAAAGCACAGGCGAATGACAGCTAAGCACAACTGAATGTTCTGGGTGCTGCCACACGTGCATATTCCAAGTATGATGCAAAAACAGATACTTCCAGGCCCAGGAGATGCCTCTGTGGGTGCCACCTGGGAGCCCTCTAAGTCACCCAAGCCATCCTCACCATCTCACCACCTGAACCTGCTCCTGCCTTACCTAATCCTCTACTGTCGCGGGGCCCACAATCCTAGCAGTCAACAAGAGCGGAGCCCTCAGTGTCACCACTTAGTCCTCTGAGAGCCACACGGTCAGTTTGCCAATCCTATCTATTACACCTCGAAAGTACCTTTTTAAGACTCCTCATTCTTACAGTCTTACTTCCATCCTTATAACTCTTACTTAAACAAACATAACAATCCCCTCTCCGGGGTCCTACTTCTGCTCTCCCACTGTGTACCACACTAGCAGGTGACTCTGCAGGCAGCAAGATCTTTCTAGAAAGCAGCAGGTGAATCCTCAGCAATCTACTCCAACCTTTCCAACTTGACGTCCAGCTGCCACTCCCCTTCCTGCGGTCCAGATGAGCTATATTTACATAAGAGTTGTTACAAGTACCCTAATTCCATGTCTTTCTCAAGAGGTTCCTTATGAAAAAATACAGTTTCCTACCTCCCCAAGGACCAATCCCAGCTGTATTTTAAGATACAAATTAAATGACGGCTTCTCTGAAAACTTTCACCCTGCTTCTCACTTGTGGAAAAAATTGCATTCTCTTTTGAATTCCCCTAGCAATTTATTGGTGCCTTTGTTTTTGTTACTAATGTTATCTCCCCTAATAAAATGAATTTTGAAGAGCAGGACCACCTTTGCCTCCTAAAGCCCAACATTTGAATGTAGAAAGTAATCAGTAAATCCTCTTTGAATGTGTTAATGCCTATTAGTTGTTCTTTGTAGTCAAACATAGACTTGAGCACCGTATCTCAATAGGCTAGACTACTCACCTGATTTCTACAGGGAACTGTGCATTTGTGACCAGGAAACTGGAGATCTTACACTGATGGAGCAGCTTTAAAAACCTGTTGATCTCTGGGTACATGATGGGCTCTCCCACAAGGGACAGCGCGCAGTGCTTCACCCTCATCCCTTCTTCAAGGCGGTCTGCTTTGACGCCTGGTGCTCCTAGAGAACACAGTGAGAAGGAACAAGCTAAATAAAACACAGATAGAGGACGTCACTTACATTTCTCCTAATGACTCTTTGATTTTAGAGGGCAAATTCATTTTTGATACCAGCCAAAAAATACAAAGCAAGGGCCAGAGGGTGAAAAAAACTAGAATTATTAAATCATAAAAGTCAGTCAAAGGACTGGCCAGATAGTTCAGTTGGTTAGAGCACAGCCCCATACCACCAAAGTCATGGGTTCAGAACCCCTTACAGGCCAGTCATCACAAAAATAAAAATAAAAATCAGGAATCTCATCCTTTGTTTTAGTACTAATTAAACCACATTAATACAAGCAGGAAAAACTAACTTTGTTATCTAATTATTTGGAAAGCAGAATATCTCACTTTCCATAGTTTTCTTACCTCTGCATTCTTTCATGTTGATCTAAGAAGATGAACTCAGTATATCTACATAAGAAGAAGGCTCTTCTAGACCAATTGTATCCCCATGCATTCCTCAAGTATCCTGACTGGGAAATTATCTAAGAAGATGAACTCAGTATATCTACATAAGGAGAAGGCTCTTCTAGACCAATTGTATCCCCATGCATTCCTCAAGTATCCTGACTGGGAAATTAAACTGTAGTTGGCCCAAAGGTATATAGGAGAGAAGAGACCGGTAGTTCTTGCCTTTGGCTTCAAATTGAAATCACCTTGGGAGCTTCAAAAACTACCGCCACCCAGACTCCCTCCAAACACTCTGTTGGTGCAAGCAATGGTGCAAGTCGGGGTAATGAAAGTTTAAAAGTCCCTCGGGTGATGGGAATGTGCAGCCAAGGTTGAAAATCACTACATAAATCAGATGACCCCAAACCTCTGCACACTGATATCACCTGGGAATCTTCAAAGTTCCAAAATCGAGGCCGCAGCTCAGATCAATTAAATCACAATCCCTGGGGCAGGAGTACAGGCATCAGTAGTTGTAAAGATCCCAGGACACTCGGATGTGCAGACCAGCTCAGAAACTACTAGCACACACCACTGGCTCTCAACCCTGGATGGACACTGGAATCACCCAAAGAACTTTTAAAAATCCCAGTGTCCAGGCAGTATCCCAAACCAATTAAATAACAATCTCTGGGGATGGGACTCAGGCATTGGTATTTTTTACAAACTCCCCATGTGATAACAGCATGCAGCACACTGGGACGAGCACTGCTCTTGACTCATATGTAAAAGGCATCTGAGACAGAATGTCCTAAAAGTCCCTCAAGCATACATGGAATGGGGAAAACTTGGAAAGAGTGAAACAGGGAAGTAAAAATACATCTCTTACTTCAGATACTTCTAAGTAAGTTACTGCTAGGTTCTTTTTGAAGAATGCATTCTTTCTGAAGGATACAGACTCATTGTGGAGATTGGGAGTGGGAAAGAAGCACGGTCTCATTACGTCTTGGGCACTTATTAGCCACCTTTGAAATTGAATGTTCTTGGCTGTGAACAGCGTCTACCAAGAAGAATCTTTGCTGAGGTGAAATGAGAGAGTGTGTGTAAAGGCCTTAGCAGAGTGCCTGGCACATGAGAAACATTCATTAAGTATTTGCTATCATCACCTTTATTCCAGTTTATTACAATGACTAAATCCCAGTCACTGTCACCTTAACAACAGCAAAGCACCTGTGGGAAATAACGTTAACTATCGCTGCTCAGCCATGCCTCAGTTTTCAGGAAGTGATCTTATACACACACACACATTTGCACTCACGCACACTCTGCTTGGTAATAAGCTAGTGCTGGTAACACCCAAGACATCAACCCAACATGATACAAGCTAAAAGTAGAACAATCTAAAAGTGACAGGTGATATCTTCTTTTATGACTGTCTAACTGCAATTCTAAGAATGCATTTCACACGTCAGTACTTTTGGATGAATAATTTTTTAGGTTATTGAAACATAAAATCTTAACTCAAGCGAATCAAGGTTTTAAATAAAACTTGATGCTTAAACTCATTCTGTGTTGCCAAGACAACTCAGCAGTAAGCATAACATTACCTATCTACAAAAAGTATCGTTAACTTTCATCTCCCCATGACCTGCTGAGTAGAAGGCAGATTTCACTTGAACTCTAAAACTAACTCAAAGCTCAGAAAGTACTACAACTGGGCATTGGTTAGGCCCTGGCCACTGGGAGTTGGAGCACTGGGCTCCAATTCTGGCTCTGCCACTAAACTGGTTTTGTGTCCTTAGTCAAGCCTCTCACCCTCTCTGAGCCTATTCATTCCCTAATCTTTAAGATGGGGATTTAACACAAACACACACACACATATTTTCTCTCTCTCTCTCTCTCTCTCTCTCTCACACACACACACACACACACAGTGCACAGAGCTGTGATAAGAATGAAATGAAACAAGCTATATGATATACTTAGGGTGGTGCCAGGCCCAGC